GAGAGAGATGACATTATTCTTTTCCCTTGTGTCTCTTACCAGCAGCAGCTGATGAATCCCAATCAACTGATGACGTCAACTTATCATAAACTTCATTTAAATATTCACTTTCTGTCGTTAGATAAATCGGAATTGATATCTCACGTGATATTAACTCCTTTTCTAACAACATCCACTCCTAAAAAACAACAATAAACAACAAACAATAATAAACAATGATTACTAACATGTAATGTATTATTATTATTATTATTATTATTCCTCCAGTCATTGGGTAGTATTATCAGCACAGCCCCTGCTCCTCTCTCCAGTAATTCATTAAACAAGTCGCTGGTTAGTTCCGTCCATTTAATGAGGACACACTTCCTGTTCAACATGGCCGCCTCTGGTGACCGTGCCTCCATGTTAACGACAGCAGAACGAGAGCCTGAGACAAAACCACAAAAATAATAATCAAGGTGTCCCGTTAAAATTCATCACAACATCCTTACTTAATACAACAATATACCAATACTACTATTAATCAATTAATAATAATAATAATAATAATAATAATAATAATAATAGTTATACCAATGTGGCTTCCATGTATATCCAGGTGTTGGATGCGGTATATGGTGAACTCTTGAACTGACTGGACACTAGCAGTGAGGCAGAGGAGAGGGAGGAGGAGGTAGAGAGGAAGAGAACCTTCCAGACTATCAAATAAAGAGAAGAGCAGCATCAGTACCAGTAATGGTGGCAACACGTGATAATTAATATAACATTTATAACTAGCCACACCTCTGAGCAATAAACAATAATTAATGATAATTTAATTTTATGTGATGTGTGTGATCTCATTTAAATTAAATTGTTTCAGGGTTGTCATAACCCATTCAAAAATTTGTCTTTTGTAGTGAAGACACGGAACTGTTTATCCACATGGGGTCCTGAGCTTAGGCTGCAGGTTTATATGCAGTGTTATTTGTACAGTCTATCGTGGGTTGGACATGAACTGTAGCCTGTGGTTAACTCTTTTATAAACTGCACATGGTGTAATGTACCAATTGACATAACAGCTGCTTTTTGCTAATTTATGAAATAATTTGATAAAATTAAAAAAGACAATCACAGGAACTAAAACAGCTGCACATACACACACACAACACATCAAACAATCACAATACAGTACAGACACAATCACAATACATTATACAGTGAGTGGTAGCACAATGAAGATTAGAACAATGAGATAAAGAAAGTTACTACAAAATAATGATAATACGGAAATAACAAAAATATTGTACTACTGTTGTCCTACTTGGTGTATTTTGGTTGATAATAATAATAATAATAATAATAACGATAATAATAATAATAATAATAATAATAATAATAACGATAATGTTAATCTACTCCTTCAAATCCCTCAGTGTTCTCTACTGCTAGTTTTAGATTCTCTTTCAGTCGGTGGTAACTAGGGTAGGGCGGGAGGTCTATCCGATTGAAACTGACAAAAAACAATAAAATAAAAATTAAATAATAAAATAAATAAAGCACTTTAATCTTACCAAGTGTGGGCTCTGGGTAAGTCATTTTCAGCTCCATATTTCTTAACACAAAACTTCCTTGGCCCACTGCTACCTGTTGGTTAGAGAAAGTTTAATCATTGACAATA